CCCCCCCCCCCCTCGCCACCGACACTCCCTCCATCACCCCCCCACCCGCTCACGCAGCTAGCTTGAGGCGGCCTCACAGTCATTTGCCCACACCCGGCTGTCTGTCGCATCAGATTGCTCCACACGATGGCGCCGCATGCCACCTGGGTTTGAGATGGATCAGCGGGGGAAGGGGAGCACGCTGTTGTGAATGCCTTTCTACGCTGGAGTAACTCTTGCATGGATAATGATCGAACGAATGGCTCTGTAGAGGTGGTGTGTAGGAACCTGGAAAAAGAGAATTGTCGTTACCATGCTGCAGCTGTACTGTACCGTCATAAATAAGCCTGTGGAAAGAGGTTTTGGTGCAATGCGAACCTAACGCGGGTTACCTCGATAGAATCGATGTTAAAAGGAAAAGTTATCACGAGGAAGCCATGAAATCGTGGTTGGTGTATGTCGAACGAACAACCGCCCTTTCTACAATCCTGGTAGTGATATGGAAGGGGGATGGATGGACGGGGTGAAGGCTTTCTTGCGGGACACGTGTCGTTTTCGTAATGTATTGCTGCGAACGCCCGACTACAGCGGACAGATAGGTCTACAGGGTGGCTTGCGTACGGCAACAGCTATATAGGCACGAGTGCTGCATGTGAGTTCATCTAGATCTACGCCACCGTCGGCTATGCACAGCACTCACCTGTTGTTCTGGAGACAAACGTGTCCTAATATATTCTACGTCGGGCAGGTTTCCTGCGGCCGTTGCGGGAATGCACCAGACCACGCATGCTATGTAGACTGCTGTATTGCTACGCACTAGGCGGTAACCGCACGCTTGGTGTTGGGACTCCCACTGGAAAAGATTTACACGCTTCGTTGCATCTCTGCATTTGGTGGTGAAAGTAACGTTGGTACAAGACAGGAATAAAACCTGTGCGTGAACCCGAGACGCACACATGGACACACCAACGGGAGATGAGACCAATTGCACTACCCGTACGACAGGACGGTGCTTGACACACACACCCCGTAGGAACGATGGCATCGCTGGCACATGAAACATGAAGGAGGCGATGCGTTTGTCTGGCGCGCTTCAAAGCGATACCGAAAGCCGCCGGAATATTTGGCGACAAATTTTGGATGCCTCCGTGCCCCCAAAGGACCTTCGCGAACGATTTTCTTTTGGTTTGTCCCTTTCAATTGCATTGTGCATGTACTGTATCGACCGGCCTTTCGGCATCCTCCTCGAGCACCGCCGGCGTCGAGTATAGATGATGCCGATCGAACCCCATTAAACCGTGTCCCCTGGCCTGTACATGCAATTGTAAAGGTGGACCTACAGCAGTACCTGCAGAACAAACGCCGCAGCGGTCATTAGCACCGGGAACAGCCTCCCTTCCACCGCCTGCAGCACGGACGCCGCCAGTATCAATACCAGAGAGGCCACGCCGGTGCACAAGCACGCCAAGTGCCTCCTGCGGCAATGTCGGACTTCCTCTCTCGGCAGACCCCACCTATACCTCTCCTTCATGCCGCTGCCGCTGTTGAGGCTCGGCAGCTCAACCGCGCGGTGACCGGCCTCACAGGGGCAGAATCGGTGCGGCCGGCTCACGCACCAGTGGTGATGCCACGGTTAGCCTTCGTCTACTACCAACGATCATGCTGGGGTCGCGGCTGAGACAGCCAGACCAACCTTTTACTCCGATACCTGCTGCAAGGGGCTCGATCGGGCGTAAGACTGCCCTTTTGCGGTCAAAAGTCGAATTTTTGGCGTTTCAATAAAAACTTTGTCGTATCCATGGCAGGCTTTTTTGGGGGGTCGCCATATCGATATGCAACCCAGGGTGCTCCGTGAATGAATCGCGCAAGCTGTGCAAGTCATCCCTGTCGACATGATTATTGGCAATATCTAAACCTGTTGCCTGCCCCGCCTCAGGTCAGCCTGCACAAGTCTTTGTCTTCTTTCTAGCTCCATTGGTGCCAACAGGGTGTAACATAGATGGGGCCCCAAACAGCAGCAACTGTCGCGATCGTCGCCTTTTGCATAAAATCCCTGGTACCGACAACAACCGCCGTGGCCTTCGTCTCAACGAGCGCATCAAGGGCAGCAGCAGCAGCAGCAGCAGCAGCAAGGGGCAGGCGAGCGACCTGTCAGACATGTTTTGGGCGCGACGGCTGCTGGACACTCCGAGAAACGCAATCAAGGCCGATTACTGTAGTTGCTCCCTTGCAATATCGCCAGTCGTCGTCGTATCTGTCGGGGGTTGGGGACCGTCGGCATAGCAAGCTCAAAGGTCGGCATACGCGTATGACATCATTCGGAGCGAACATAAGCGGTGGAGGGGGTGAGGAGAGCAACGCGCTCCTCCTGAGGATGGACTTCGAGGATGCAGACGTGGAAGAATTGCGCCAGTGGATTCGAAGGTGATGCGGTGGCGCGTGTTGGATCTATGCGTTGTGTGTGCTTCCTTGCACACCGCTCCCCCTTGAGTCGTACGGGCGATATTTAAACCGCAAGTATTTTATTTCGCGGATGGGTCGAACGCTCATGTCATCCAGCTCATGACGTGAGTGTCGCTGAGCTTTTCTGTGCAGTGAAGTAGTTTTTTTTTGTGTGTAGAACGGCTGGCTTTGGTTAATCGGTTTTCACGGGGGGTGGAGAGATTCATGGGCATAACGAGGGAAAGAAGGGTAGCAGGCTTCGTGCGATAAAACCAGACACAAGACCGAAACGACACAGCGTACACAAGCGTCGAAAGATCTCCGTTCCTACATAACAATCAACAACCACAACAACGACAGATTGCCGACGTCACTTTCTGATGTGCGTGCCCTACACGTATGGTTCGTGCACAACAATTTATTCAGTTTTGGGTGAAAAAAAAAAAAGAATTGGAACGTGACACAACGTTGGTCGTGATGGCCTCACCGAGTTACGTCGATATCCGAAGAGTTTTTTGAATTTGGTGAAAATGCAACATTTTCGGAGGAAATGATCCACGGTGCCCCCTTATGTACCCACCGTACCCTCTCATGACATCACGGGACCCCCTGAACACCACTACCCACTGTACAAATGTTACAGAGACCGCCTACACGCCATTAAGTTTCTGCAAACAAACATCTCTACTGCAGCTGCTGCTGACGGGTGTTTGCTGTGTCTACACCACACGGGAACAAGTACGAACTTCTCCGGAAAAAATACACATGAAACACTATGCGTGAAGGGTCAGAAAAATACTGGCCAGATACAGCCAACTCCACGGAAGGGCCACAAAAACAACGAACAACAATAATCTGCTGCCGTCGCGCATGCTCCACTTCAGAAACATCCCCATAGTGTTGGCCAAGCCCACGACTTGGCGCCCCAAAGCTGCTTTTCGGCGGCGGGATTGCTGGCTTCGTGAGAGAGAAAACACGGCGGGTTTTGTTTTTCTCGCCGCGTTTGCTGCCGAGCGAGCTGCGGATACCACAGCACGCCCT